AATATTAATTGTATTAATTGTAAAGTGCAATTATATGTACTGTAATTACATTATATGCATACGGAACATGGAGTAAAGTTTTACAGTAGGATTTTACTGATGCGATTGAAAGCAGACTGTTTCCTTTGCCTTAAACAGAATAAAGAGTATGGTAGGAATCAGTGTGTTTCATATTTTCTTTATTGCTTCATTTTATGAATTCTTGTTTTACGGATGTAACCAGCTGTTTATATACTTCAAGACCAATAAACCAGGAAGTTCTTCTCTGCAAACAAAGTCTGGTCCCTGCTCTTTCTCTGGATGAGGTATGTTGTGAACATGATACAATCAGGTTAATCAGTAATATTAAGGGAGCTGAACCTACTCAGATTTAACTCTGGGTTATTCAGGAAAGTCAAGGTTGACAAACTCTGATAGTTTAAATTGCTGTTAAACAGTAAGTTAGTTACCTCGCTTTGTACTACAGGTCTCAGGCTTTGAGATGATGCTCGCAAAGAAACTACTGACTGTGGCAGAATGGAGATTACCAATGCTGCTTTGCTTTGCCCATGTTAACTGACTGATAACTAACTGATAGTTTGCTTACCTCCTTGTTTTTACATATGCTGGGTTTCCCCTTTTGATTGGTTTGTAGTTTTAATTGTTTGATATTTTATGATGGTTTTATATTTTAATAAGTATTTATTTAAGTAGTATTTTTCCTTGTTGACTATTTTTGGTAACTGACATAATTTTATAAGTAAGCTACTTCTTACTTAAAGACGTTGAAAGCAGTAGGGGTCACAAGGGTATTGGGTGTAGTGTGTAGCAAATGCCTTGGAGTCTTTTATTTTTTAAGTGTATCCTTATCTGTTTAATTCATAGCACTATTTGTATATAGAGGGCTCTCCTATGTGTGTGAGTAAGTGAACAGCAATCATGACAAACAGATCTTGACATGAGCTCCATCTCGTGGAACACCACATTATTGAAATGTTGCATGATATCATTAATGGAAAAATTAGTTAAAAGAGCCCTCCACACATCACATGTGAATCTCAATACACAATTAATAGCCTTAATACACATCTGTAAGGGATCTTAACTGAAGATAAATATACAAATACTTTGCTTGGAACAACAATGTGTGTCTGATATTTTTTTTCTATATATCATCTTCTCCTTCTACTTCATTAAAAATGCCAGAATCTATGAATATGAACATTGAATGAATGGAGAGCTTAAGGTGTAGCTACAGTAATTGAGGGGAGGTGTCAATTGTTCCTAGAATGAGTAAATCTTGAAATGTAATAAGTTAATTTACTGACATACTGATGGACTGATTGCTTAATTACTTTGGCTTCAGGAATATTACATGGACTTGGATGTCTGACAAATACATTGTCTTTTGTCACATTCTACCATTTCCAAGTTATAAACTTTTGCACGCTGACACTGACACTTGACGCTGACACAACAACATTTTAAATCACTGTCTATTTTCATCATTACTTCTGTACAGATTAATCAAAAAGTAAACAAATGCATGATTAAAATTCAGTTAATGAATGTTATACAAAGCCTGTATCTGAAAACAGCATATTTCAGCCCTATTTCAGGTTTTTATTTTACACTGGGAATAAGACAAGGGGTGAAATCTCACCCTGGCCTCTACACTGAAAGAGGATTACTGTATCTCATAATAAAACAAAACTGAATAAGACTGACACCAACTGTTTCAGTATACTGTAACTGTATGTATTATTACAGTAAAAAAAATACAGTTTCTGTGCACTAGCCTTAGAGGAAAAAAAGGTAGTTTAGTGTAAAAGGTAGTTATATCCCTTCGGCTTCTGTACAATGACATATGAGTCCTGTTGGTAAAGGGGAAGGAGAAGCAATAATTATAGAAGGAATAATGAGGAAATGGCAAGAAAGATGGCGGGAAAGGAGGGGAAACAGGAGGGAGGAAGTCATTGTAACTTGGTTAAGGTTTGATCATACAGAAAAACAATGTCAGAAGAGTGCCTCCACTGCCATACAATAGAAAGTGTTAGACAGGGAACAGCTCCTCCAAAGGATCAGGAAGTCTGTTAGAGAGTGGAACCTGCTGGGAATACTGGGAACAACCCACAAAGCTGTAATGGACTTTCTGAAGGATACAAGGTAATATAAAAGGATATAGTTAAGTTGTAAGTCATGTAAAACCTATTTGTGCATACTCCGGTACAGTAGGTGGCGGCATGATTCAAAGTCAAAGATTGCAACCTGCAGTAAAAGGAGAAGAGGAGGAGGAAGAAGAGAAACGACATAGGAGAATGCGGAAGCTCATTTGACAAGGTTTTCTGGGCGTGTCGGCTTGTAAATAATAAAAACTGATGCTGCCAGCAGAAGTCTTCCTGTAACGGAAAAACCCCTGATCACCTGAGGACCACCAGGCAAGCGTCAGTCCGTGAGTAGAGGCCGGGGCTCGGGCAGTGTGTGCAGCTGGGGGTTGACAGATGTTTCTGTGTGTTAACAGCTTGAATTAGATCAGTTGTACCTGACAGGTTACACAGGACAGGAGTTGATAGGCTGCAGGTGAAAGGTCCAAGTTTGAACATTGTTCTCTCTGGCGTGACTTATATATGCTGTAATACCTCAGTGTTATGTAATAATGTAATATGTAATGTCAGCTAGGCTTCTTATTTGAGCAGGATAAGTATTTTTATTCTTCTTATGGAAGTTTAAGGCTTTGTTTAATGTATGTTTTTTTTTTAAATATATTCAATAAAATAATAACCTACTTATTATAACAACCACTACTTTACTTTGTTATTTCTAATGATTAGGGTAAACAATATATACCGAATTAACCTGCTTGGTTTATTTAATGTTTGTCCACATGTTTAGATATTGTCTTACTATTTATATTCAGAGACAATCAGTGTAATTGTAAATAAACTTTACAGTGGAGTTTGGCCCAGTGAGAGAGTGAGATACTAATCAGATAGACATTTGAGCCATTAATTTAAGTTGTAATGTGATAATAACAGTAATTAATATTAATGTATTCATTAACACTCTGCCCTCCGTTCCTTGTAGACACAATGGCATCACCAACCCCTCTAACCAAGGCCAACACCACCTTCTCTCTGGCTCTGTTCAAAAAGCTGAGCGATGACGACAAGGCCGGGAATATCTTCTACTCTCCTTTTAGCATCTCTTCAGCTCTGGCTTGGTGATGCTGGGGGCAGAGGCAACACGGCCACCCAGCATGTCAGAGTACAGTATACACACAACAAACCACCACACCAGCACCAAAACAAACTGCTTTGTAAAAAGTAAGAGATTACATTATGACGTCGAGGTTGGCAACTGGGTCGTTTGCTTTGTAAGTGTATACACTAATGAAGTTTTTCACTATAAATGCCTCCATTAATCCCACTCATAACGGCGACTTCTGAAAAGAACTCGTCGAATCTCTGGCTATTTCAAGCGACCTGCGATACTGGGCTAGATCTGATAGTTGAAAAGGGGCAGAGTGAAGTAATGTAGGCGTGCAAGCCATCGTTCAGTATGAATCACAGTTTCTTTCTTCAGATCCAGCAGTAGCAAATGACAAAGATCCTGTTCTGTTCAGGCTTGACTTACTTTTATGGGGCGGTTCTGTGTGTTTGTTATATGGGAACCTGATATAATATTGGTGTAAAAGGGCATAAAGGGTCCAGATTGAAGTAATCTGTCACTTGACTATCAGTTTTCGATTATGTAAACATGTCCACTGGCTCGGTGGTACAAGTTATGAGTTGCTTATCAGTGGCACTGGATACGATACCAATGGAAGAATATTTGCAGCACTCCAACATTTAATAATACTTTTTTATCCAGCTTTAGATATACATCAATATATAATAATAAAATACATATAATCAAGCTGGTTTTGGGAATAAATAAAATTATGCTTATACAGTAATATAGCGCTAGTTTATACTCTCTTAAATCTTTTTAAA